AAGAAGGTTCCCCAGATTCTTGCATGTGAGCTGACAGCAGACAGAGCATACCCTGGGATTGGGGCTCTCTTTAGCTAATTCCCCCATTATACAGTCATCACCTGGAAGGGACTCTCAGAAGATATTGCTTCTACTGTGGCTTCTCAGTGCATATTGTTTCAGAAAGTCTTTACAGAAAGTATCATGGTTACTCCTCACTAGAGACCCCATTCACCTTTCCTCTTTCAACCCAAGCAGCATCTTTCCACCTGCAGTTTTTTAGCAGGTTGAACTCTTCCAGAGCTCTTAATAGATCATGTCCTAGTAGTGATGATCCACAGGCAAAGTTCTCCCTATGCAGCCTTTCTTGTTGCTTTGGGGGAAGTTCCAGAGCTCCCTAGCGTTGACCAGGGACAACTGACCTCCTTGTCCAGAGCAGTGTCAAACAGGGACTCCATTGTAAATTTCTCCCTCAAGCTACAGTTCCTGCTAACATATGGCCTCAGAAAAACTTGCCCAGTAATCAGGAACACACTGCTTCTCTTATGTTCCAGTTGGGTCTCTATTCTTAATACCAGCTAGGATCAAGGTAAATTTCACAGCTTTTCCCCTAGCATTTGGGTAGTAGGTCCTTAGCTGTGTCAATACTTCCTACAGGTCAATAACCCATCCCCATCCCTTCCCCATCCAATCCCTGTAGTTCATTCATTTCCCTGGGACCACCTGTCTACCAGATGGGCAGATTTATTCAAATTATTTAGAGCAATTTCTCACCTTAGACTTTGAGTAGAAATAATGCCTATCACATAATGTGCTTAATAAATGCTTATTTCTTGACTTGACTTGGTGGTATCCAGGAGAGGGTGATGGAATTAGGTTGAGGAGTCAAACAGTCCCTTGGTTTTCCATGTGCTGAAGGAAAAAATTTCATGGTCCCTATACCATAAAAACCACCACAGACTTGGTGAGAAACCCTTGGTATTAGAGCCCTGCTGTTGTATAACAGGAGGCAAAGGGGTAAATTTGTCCTGCAAAATCCATAGAAAGTTACAGAGGCAATCTAAGTTATAAATAAGCAGGAATCAATGAGTCATTAATGAAGCCAGTTGGAAAAGTGATGAACCCTCTTAGAAAGCCACATTTGCCAGCCTGTTTTGTAGGCACAAGAATTCCCAAAATGCATGTCAACATATTTTAAGAGGGACATTCAAGGGGGCTTTTTGTTGCTGTTAGTTGTGTCCAAGTCTTCCTGACCCCATTTGGGGTTTTCTTGGCAAAGGTACTGGAGCGGTTTGCCATTTTCTTCTCCAGCTCATTTTACAGATGAGGAAACTAAGGCAGACAGTGTTAAGCGACTTGCCCAGGGTCACATAGCTAGTAAGCGTCTGAGGCCGGACTTGAACTCATAGCGATGAGTCTTCCTGATTCCAAGCCCAGTGTTCTATCCATTGTGCCACCCCCAAGGGGCCTTTATATATAGGCAATTGTGACTGGTTCTCAGAGTTCTGGGTTCTCCATCTTGAGAGAGATATGGGGAGTGACATCAGTATTATCTGACTCGTACCTTCTCTAATGCTTGTATCCAGAAAGACTATGTGAATTGATGATTGCAGCCTAGCTGCTGTGAGGGACATTGGCACTGTGGTGAAAACTAAATCTGATTTGGTGGTTCCTCCTCCCCCCCCAGAGACGTTCTCTCTTCTTGGTGGCTCCAAGCCACAGAGGAAGACAGAAATGAACCGCCTTCCTCTTCGGCATCTAAGCAGGAAACCCCCGCCTGCTGCCCACAGTTAAGAAATCACATGTTGCCACCAGTATTTCCATCTAGTATCTCACAAACTCCCCCTTTTCTATTTTAATTGGTCTTCAATGATGCATAAAACTAATTTATCCCCAACCTCTGTTATGTGGTTATCTGGGGAGCACTGAAGGTGGGGAGATAGATTAGGTTTTCAAACTTGGACATTGGGACAGTGTCGTTTCAGTCATGTCCAATTCTTCATGTCCCCATTTGGGTTTTCTTGACAAAGACACCAGAGTGGTTTGCCGCTTCCTTCTTCAGCTCGTTTTATAGACAAGGAAACTGAAGCAAACAGGGTTAAGTGACTCACCCAGGGACACACAGCTAGTAAGTGTCTGAGGCCAGATTTGAACTCATGGAGATGAGTCTTCCCGACTCCAGGCCTGGCATTCTATTCCCTGCACTATCTAGCTGCATGAAAACTAAAGACCAGAAAGGGTGATTTATAATCACAACCTTAATTGCCTTATGTCTATTTTTACTTAATTAACCCAATAGCTAAGAACAAAAGAGCTAATGAAAACAAGACCTTGTGCGTGGATCTCTCTGCACATGGGGACTTCACTGACCTTCCTCTCTGGGTATGCAAAGTATGTATCCCTAAGTCTTCCTAAATGTATGGAGCAAGAAATCAGATCTTAAGAGCAGCCAAGAAGTGTGGTCAAATAACAAAATGCTAGTCAAACTGAAACCAAAAGCGTGGTCACAGAAAGAACCAACTAGGCAAAGAAGGACATAAGAAAGAGAAAACAAGAATCCAAAAGTCAAAGGATTGTAGGAAGCTAGATCTAGAGTTTAAAAGGACCTCAGAAGCCATCTAATTCAGCCTCCTAATTTAGAGATGAGAACACTGAAGGTCAGGAAGGACTTGTCCAAGATCACACAGGTAGTAAGAACCATGGTGCATCTAAGAGGGGAACTATGAGAGTGTCGTTCCTGGAATGAGATGCCAGGATGTAGTGTCCATGATCTAGAGTCTTCTTTAGATGGATGATTGGCATGGTAGCCCACCCACACTGTATGAAAGTACCTTCAAGCTGACATTTAGGTGAAATTGTGTCACTGTTTTCCTCAACCATGCCAGTTGATACCACACTGAAGGAGGTGGTGCATTTGAGCTGTAGGAACAGGAAGGCAGTAAGTAGCTGCTGCCAATAATGCTTTCTCCTCAGAATACTGAGGTGGCCTACAGATAGAAGATAAAATTAGTAAGGCTCAAAGCTTCTAGACTAATGTTTATCAAACCTGATGCTGTGATTAAAAACCTTATTGTGTTGACCAGAGGAAAAGGAAGAGAGCCACGTGAGACCTGTTTGTGTCTGATCAGTGTATTACTATGTGTGTTCCTCTGGAGTTTTGTGTGTGTGTGTGTGTGTGTGTGTTCTGGGGACATTTTTTGCATTGGATGTTCTAGAAACCGAGATCTTTAAGCAAAGAATAAATGTAACAACTGGGTGATAATGACTATGTAACAAAATCTAAAAAGCATTATTCCCTAGACTTTGATAGAATTCATTTGTAAATTCATCTGGTCCTGAAATTCTTTTTCCTTTAGAAATTGCTTATGAGTTAATAAATTTCTTTTTCTGCAATTAGGTTATTTAAAATTTCTATTTCTTTTCTTTTAATCTGGGTATTTTATTTTTTTTATAAATATTCATCCGTTTCATTTAAATGATTGTATTTTTTTTAGTATATGTAATCAAGCAAAATAGGTTGTAATGCTTTAAAAAAAAATTTTTTTTCTTTATTTGCTGTGAGTTCTTGGTGCTTTTTATTTTTATTTTTGAATGAATCCCCTTGTTTGCTGGTTTCTCCCAGAACCTCCATTTTAAGGGAAAAAAATGTCCAGGTTAGCCATGCTTCATTCCTCTCCAGGCTCTACTCCTGACTCACCAGTCAGTTTTGCTACCATGCCCCCAAATGAGTGCTTTCTCTCCCCCAACGCTTTTCATCTTCCTTTGATGTTTTGTCTTCCCCTATTAGAATGTAAGCTCCTTGAGAGTAGGGACTACCTTTCTGCTTGTATTTTTATTTCCAGCACTTGGTACAGTGCCTAGACAGAAACCCGAGGGTCTTCCCTTCCCAGAATGATTTTTTTTTCTTTTTTTGACTAAGAGCCATTCTCTGCCCCATTTCTTGCCTAGCCTTAATCACTGAAAGGGTGTTGCTTCAGTCAAACTGAGACCTGTTAAAGACCTTAGCTCAGAAAGGCCAAGGTCTCCCACTGCATCCAGGGCCATCTCCAGTTGTCCTGATCTTTGTTTTGCCACTGGACTCAGATGACCTTGGGGAAGAGAGTGAGGCTGGTGACTTTGCACAGCCCTGCCTCACTTAAATCCAATTCACTTGCAAATCAAGACATCACCTCCCTGACGTCATGGTCCTCTTCAAGAACAAAGGACAAACAACAACAACAACAGTGTCTAAAAACTAACTTGATGGCTGGATTTGATATTGGCAGTTTCATTTTTTCTAAAAAAAAAAAAACAAAATCAGGGACAGCTAGGTGGCGCAGTGGACAGAGCTCCAGCCTTGGAGTCAAGACAATCTGAGTTCAAATCCAGACCTGACACTTGACACTTACTACCTGTGTGACCCTGGGCAAGTCACTTAACCCTGATTGCCTCACAAAAAAACCAAAAACAAACAAACAAAAAACAAATTTAAAAAAATCAGACTAACAGTTCGCCTATTTTTTTTAAAAATGCAACTTCTACTTTTATGTATCAATTCATTTTTTTTTCAATTTTGTTTATCTCTCTTTAGAGTTTTAGAACTTCTATTTCATTTTTTTTAATTTGATGTCTTTCTAGATTTTTTTTTTGTTGCATGCCCAATTAATTTATCTGTTTTTTATTTTACTGATGAAAGTATTTTCCTCTAAGGACTGCTTTGGCAGAATCCCAAAAATTCTAGTATGTTGTCTCATTGTTGTCATTTTCTTTTATGAAATTATCTATTTATAACAGTTAACTACCCCAGCCCATGCTACCTGAAAGCCAGATATATTCCATTTCACCTCTCCCCCAAGGTTCTCTGTTACCTGTAAGGGATATCTTTGTCCCTCTGTCATTGCCTAAAACCCCCACTGATTATGTTTACCCAATTTTAGGGGTCCCCTGCACCCAGATTTCATTTAGCCACTTCACAGTCAGATTAGCTGCTGCAAAGGAATATTTACTTCAAACGTATAACAAGAACAAACCTACAAACTTACCTCCTAAAATTTAGGAGACATAATCCCTCCTCTACCCTCTCAGTCTCTGTAGAGGGGAAGATGATTAAGTTTACAATTTTGCTCAGTTCCTATATAGCACGGTCACCCCACCGAGTCCAAAGCCCCCCTTGGGTTCTGGTCTCAGGCACCCTGGTTTCTCTGCTGGGGTAGCAGCAGCATCCAGCCTGGAATCTTCCCTCCAAGGTCTCCTTGCTTAAGCTCCTGGGTCTAGGGACTCCATTGCTTGCACCTATAACTGAAAAGGACAAACAAAACCGATCAAGATCCCAAGTCTGATTCTCTGGGTCACAGATTCTGAAAGAGAGAGGAGGGTAGGTGGCTCTTCCCCCAAACCCGGTTCAGTGCTCACTACCTATGCTTTACGTGAATAGGACATCCATCCTCTGGTTGCTGCCAGGAGAGGAGGGAGGGAGGGAGGGAGGAAGAGAGAGAGAGAGAGAAATGTGGTAGTTTTAAAGACACAGCCTGTTCTGGCGATATAGCCAATGGAAAGGGCCTACTCTCATCCATATGGCAGGTGAAAACACATGCACAAAGTTCAGTTACATATTGTTTCTATAATTTGTTCTATGACCCACCAGTTCTCTAAGACTAAATTATTTGATTTCCATTTCAATTTTTGTGATGTACAGCTGAGAAGATGTCTATGTCTTTCTATTCCTAATCACCAGAGATCAGTCACAACCAACTTCTGTAAAATTCTGTTCAGGTCCCTACCATTTTTTAAAAAATATTTCTTCTTTTTATTTTTTTCCACTTAATAGCATTTTTCTTACAATTACATGTAAAGATAGTTTTCAACATTCTCTCTTTTTTAATTAATTTATTTTGAATTATCATCAATCACTTCCATAAGCTTTTGAGTTTTAAATTTTTCTCCCCCTCCCTCCCCATTTCCCTTCCCAACACGGTAAGCAATCTGATATAGGCTATACATATACATTCCTATTAAACACATTTTCACATTAGTGATGTTGTAAGTAAGAATTAGAACCAATAGGAGGAACCACCAGAAAGAGGAAACAAAACACAACAGAAGGAAAAAAATACCAAATAGTGTGAGAAATGTTAATAGTTTCTTTCCCACAGAATTGATAAGAAAACAGGACAGGGAGAGATTAGGTTATTGATTAATTGATTTCTTGGTTTATTGGTTTACACAAATACGTAAACAAGATGAGGGGGAGATTGGTTTTCACAGATTCTATAGAAACAATGAATATTGCATTGCAAACACAGATGTTAAATGGGATGTGCAGGAATGTTGGGACAAATTGGGGGTTAAAGCCAAGTGATCCTATATAACTACTTTCCCTGCTCCTGTATAGGTGTGTGATTCCAATAAGGGAACACACCCAATTCTCACAAGAATTGTTAATAAAGGTATCTCTTCTCTCATTCCACAATTGTTATTTCTTTATGACCCAGCTAACTCTTGTTCGGGGAATTCACTGAGCCCAGTCTTGGGCTGAATTCTGAATTGAGTCTGGGGCTTTTGTAACAATAATATACTTTGATCTGCATTCAAACTCCATAGTTCTCTCTTTGGATATGGATAGCATTTTCCATCATGAGATCTTTGGAGATGTCTTTATAAGATTTTAAGTTCCAAATTTTTCTCCCTCCCCCCCTCCCCAAGACAGCAAGCAATCTGATACAGGTTATACATGTACAATCATATTAATCATATTTCCACATTAGTCATGTTGTAAAAGAAGAATCAGAACAAAAGGGGGAAACCACAAGAAAGAAAAAATAAAAAAAATTAAAATAGTATGCTTCAATCTGCATTCAGACTCCATCAGTTCTTTCTCTGGATGTGGATAGCATTTTCCATGATGAATCTTTTGGAATTGTCTTGGATCACTGTATAGCTGAGAAGGGCTAAGTCTATCATACTTGATCATAGCACAATGTTGCTGTTACCGTGTAAGATGTTCTCCTGGTTCTGCTCGCTTCACTCAGCATCAGTTCATGTAAATCTTTCCAGGTTTTTCTGAAGTCCGTTTGCTCATCATTTCTTATAGCACAGCAGTATTCCATTACATTCATATACCACAACTTGTTCAGCCATTCCTCAGTTGATGGGCATCCCCCTCAATTTCCAATTCTTTGCCACCACAAAAAGAGCTGCTATAAATATTTTTGTACATGTGGGTCCTTTTCCCTTTTTTTATGATCTTTTTGGGATACAGACCTAGTAGTGATATGGCTGGATCAAAGGGTATGCAGTTTTATAGCCCTTTGGGCACAGTTCCAAATTGCTCTACAGAATGTATGGATCAGTTCACAACTCCACCAACAATGCATTAGTATTCCAATTTTTCCACATCTTCTCCAACATTTATCATTTTCCTTTCAGGTCTTTAACTTCTTTCTTTGTTAATCTTTTGTTAATTTTCTAGTTCTGAAAGGAGCACAGGGAGGGCAATTATACTTTTGTAGCTAATTTCTAACTGTAATTCATTTTTTTCTTTATGGAGATGCTATATCATTTGATGCATATGTATTAGGTCCTTATATCATTCCATTTTCTACAATGCCTTTAAGCCTAATGTAGCAATGCTGCTTATTTCTTTAAACCACGTCTGTGTTTACTGTTATGGAAGGAAGCTAGGAGGCACCGTGACTAGAGTGCTGGGCCAGGAGACATCTTCCTGAATTCAAATCTGGCCTCAGACACTTACTAGCTGTGTGACCCTGTGCTAGTCACTTAACCCTGTTTCCCTCAGTTTCTTCATCTATCAGGTGAGCTGAAAAAGAAAATGACAAACCACTCCAAGATCTTTGCCAAGAAAACCCCCCCAATGGGGTCATGAAGAGTTGACTTGACTGACACTGAGCTCATGAATGCTACCCTAGTTTTTACAGTCACCTGAAGCATAATAAATTCTACTCCACCTCCTTATTTTAAATCAGTGTGAATCCTTATTTCAAGTGTATTTCTTACAAGCAACAACTGATTGGATTCCATTTTCTAATCTATTCTGCTATCATATCATCATACTTTTTTTTTCTCTCCCTCCCACCTCACCACCATTTGCAAAGAAGACGGAGGTAGATCAAAGAAAGAATGTGATCATACACTAATATTTGATATTAATATTTGGTAATTAGACTGTTCCTGTTCCTACAACTCTGTCTCTCCTCTCTTCACCAAAGCAGGCTGATTTCTAGTTCTCATACTGTCTCTCATTTTGACTCCCTCCTTTATGATCTATCCTCTGAATTAGTTTTGTTTTGCCTGTGACTATTCCCTCTTCATATCTGCCTTCCTTCTTACCCTTCCTCTTCATTTTCCCTGTCCCTACTTGTTTCTTTGTTAAGTTTTTATGTGTTTCTACACCAAACTCTGTGTGTTCAACATTTCTGTATGGAATTCACATGCATAAGGATCACGAAAAGCCCATTCTTTTCCATTTTGTTCTCATATGTCCTATAGCAGATAGAGTGCTAGAGCTTATGTCAGGAAGACTGAGTTCAAATCCAGCTTCAAACACTGACTAGCTATGTGACCCTGGGCAAGTCACTTAACCTGTCTCACTCAGTTTCCTTACCTGTAAAATGAGGATAATAATAGCACCTTCTTTTCTTCGGTTGTTGTGAGGATCAAATGAGATCATATTTGTAAAATGCTTTGTAAATCCTCCTCCTTCTTGACCTCCCTGAACCTTTTGACATTGTCAATCACTCTCTTCTCCTTAATGCTCTCCTCTCTAGGTTATTATGACACTCTTCTCTCCTACTTGTCTTTCTATCTGTTGGACTACCCATCAGCCTCATTTGACAAATCTTTATTCAGGTTATGCCCAGTAACCATGGATATCCCCCAAGCTTCATCCTGAGCCCTCTTCGCTTCTTCCCCCACAATCCTTCCCTCTTCCTCACTTCCTTATTACTGTCAAGAGTCCCACCATCCTCCTCATCACTCAGACTCATAAACTAGTTATCATCCTCAATTCCTCAATTTCTCTCACCTCCCTCATCCACTCATCTCTCATATACATGCCCTTCTCTCCTCTGATCCTGCCACCATTCTGGTTCAAGTCCCCATCACCTCTTGCCTCGACTATTTCAATAGACCACTAGCTGATCTCCTTGCTTCATCACTTCCCCCTCCAGTCCATCCTTCCTTGAGCATAACTCTGAACATGTCACCCACCTACCTATTCAATAAACTCCAGTGGCCCCCCATTACCTCCAGAATCAAATATAAAATCATCTGGCTCTCCAAGCCCTTCATAACCTGACCCATTCCTACCTTTCCAGTCTTCTTACATCTTACTCCTTCCACAGATTCTTCCATTCAAGGACACAGTCCTCTTTGCTGTTCCTTGAATGCAGCATTCCATCTGCTGACTCTGGGCTTTTTCATTGTCTCTCCCCCATGCCTGGAACACTCTCCTTCCTCCTTTCTGTCTCCTGGCTTCTCTGGCTTCCTTCAAGTCTCAGCTAAAGTCTCACCTTCTGCAAGAAGCTTTTCCCAGTCCTTATTCTTAATGCCTTCCTCCTAAGATTATTCCCAGTGTATCCTGTATATCTTATTTGTGCAGTTGTTTGAATGTTGACTCCCCCATTACACTGGAGCTCCTTGAGAACAGGAACTGGTTTTGGTTTTTTGTTTCGTTTTGGGGTTTTGGGTTTTTGTAACCACAGTGCTTGGCATAGTGCATACAGTAGTCACTCAATAAATGCCTATTGATTAACTAAAAGTATTTTGCAAACCTTAAAGCACTATGTGAATGCTCGCTATTATTATTTTTACCCCAATTATCTTCTCCATTTCTTCCTTAACATATTCTTTTGTCCTGCTCTTTTTTCCTCTCTTACAATGACTGAAAAAGAATAAAACCATACCCACTCCCTATGTTTATGTTTATTAGCTCCATTTGTGACTTGTGAAGACAAATGGAATTTAACAGGGGTTCTACCTCTAACTTCAGCTCTAGGTAGAACAGTGGATAGAGAGCTTGCCCTGGAGTTAGGAGGACCTGAGTTTAAATCCTACTTCAGATAATTACTAGCTGGGTAAGTCACTTACTTCTGTTTGCCTCAGTTCCTCATCTGTAAAATGAACTGGAGAAGGAAATGGCAAACCATTCTGGGATCAGGATCACAAAGAGTTGGACACATCTAATCCTCTAAACAACAAAACCCTAATTCTAACTATAACTCAAATTCTGATTCTAATTCTGTCTCTTCTAGAATAGAAGACTTTCAAGTATTCCTGTTGAAAAGACCAAAGCTCTTCCCAACCTGGCCCCTTCCTACAAGATCTTTCCAGTCTTTTAACATGTTCCTGCCCTCCACACACTCTTTACACAGTGCTCCCTCTCCAGCCTCTCCTTTGCCCTGGCTCTCCCCAGTACCTGGAATGATCGCCCTCATAACCTCGGACTCTCAAAATCCTTTAT